CAACAAACCAATAAAATGCCACAAGACCCAATTAATTCGTCCTATTATCTTTTATTGTAACCACAAATGATAAAAACAGTCGGACCGGCAAGCAGTGAACACTAAAAACGTCGCCTTGCATCGGCCATGGCTTCGCAAAAACATTCTGTGGTTCATCAGTCAACTGAAACTATGGGACTCATAGGTAACAATGTCATTGTGTAGATGTCATTTCTATTATTTTATTTGAAGTGTCTTCTTATCTACGTTTCTTTGTATCTACTACTGCTTAATGCCATTCAGCATAATACGATATTTTTGGACATTTCACCTGATGTCACTTCTTCATAGTATCCCTAAGTTAAGACGTTTTTTGTGACGAGGTTTGCCCTAATAAGCATGATTTTTACTCCATTTAATCGACCCCAGTGGCCAGACCAGGGTAGTTTAATCATCATCATACCATCCTCATCATTATGGGGCACCAGATCCCATAGACTAACCCCAGAGCGCTCAAGACGCAACGCCTTTTACGACAGATTTTTAGGGATACCTTAGGCATAAGAGGAAATTGCAAACCAAAATTGTTATTTTGTGGGCTCCTAGTCGATAGAACAAGAAATTATTCTTGTTGCAATTTAATTTTGTTCTCATTTATGTTCATATATCACCACGTTAAAATTGTATCTTACAGTCTACAAAAAATATTTGAAATTTCTACTATTATCAACACACATGATGCATTAATCATACAGATGTTTATGTTAAGTGCAATTAGTAAGTAAACTAGACGCGGTCTCGTTCTACAAAGATAATAGAGATTTAATCTCAAACCCATAAACCCAAAAATCTTATGAAGCTACCACTTAAATACGGAAAAAGAAACAAGAATATCAAACGGAGTATTTACAATTGGGTAATAGTTGTAAAACAAGTAGATTGTAAATAGTATCCCACCAAGAACATTCTGTAAAAAACTAGCCAAGTCTCGATGGAGCTGCTAGTTTATCTCTAAAAAGTAATGAAATATAACAAAGTCGTGCCAAGTCTATGGTTCCTTATTGCGATTTCGTTATTATTATAGTTAATATTGTGTCTCTTTGCCGTTGAAATTTTGGATTTTAAGTATGTGATTATAGCTTACTGGATGACGAAAATTTCTGCGTTCTGGTCTTATCTAGAGGTTCTCAAATAGAGGCCTGAAAATGCGGTGAAATGGTTCCAGTAAAGGATAGTACGGCAGTGTTTGCTTGGCGCTCGACTTGGCGGGGGCACTGCCGTGCCCCCAGATTTAGTTATAAAGGCGTGTAATAATGTGGTTTTAAGAAAATATTTTATAATTGCTAATATTTACGACTACCTCGTTGGCTATGTAGTCGCAAGTGCGACTACCGGGCAAGGGGTGTCGGGTCCGATTCCCGGGTCGGGCAAAATATAACTTTGGTTTTTAATAAAAATTCTTAGTTGTAGCAAGGAGTCTGATATTGTATATGGCAATAGGTTCACCCCCTATTACATAGGACTCATAACATAAATAGTGAAAAGTGGGTGTTACATTGTACAGTGGCATTAAGTGCCGTAATGTACACCTCTGCCTACCCCTTCGAGGATAAAAGGCGTGATGTTATGTTGTTGTAATATTTATACATTTCATTTCAATTCACACGTTGCTTATTTCTTCCACAGTGCATACTGATAATCAAGGCATTAGGGGTATTATCCTCACCACGCATGGGGCCCAATAGGGCTGATACCAATACGGAGTCGCAGAGAACCTAACGGGTTACCGGGGCTCCGGCTCGAAGTGCAGGAGTAGGAATGGAGTGGTTTTTATTCAGTAAGAGTCTGACACTCCCTCCCGCCTCACCCAGACGGGAGCAGTCATTCGATGATTTTCCCCCCTTAAAAAAAGGGGTGCATTATCTTAACCTTATAAAAAATCGATTCGTCTTTTACCGAACCTTAGATCATCAGATGCTCTAAAGAGCGATACCTAGTTAATATTAAAATATACGAAGAAAATTAATTAGAATAGTACTATTATTCTCAAGTGCTAAATAAAGTAGATATTTAATTGGAATACACATTGTAACCAGGTCACTCATATATGTACGTAGACAGAAAATTTTAGAACATAACCGATAGGAAACTAATTAATTGCATTTTGTATCATTCATTTCGGTGATTAGCCTAATTAAGAGCTATATTCAATGAAATTACATTCTTACTGTTATTATTTTGGAGTCGCGGAGAACCTAACGCGTTACCGGGGCTCCGGCTCGAAGCGGAGGAGAAGGAACGGGGTGGTTTTAGTCAGTAAGAGTCTGACACTCCCTCCCGCCTCACCCAGGCGGGAGCAGCCATTCGATGATTTCTCCCATTAAAAAAAACTGTAGTTATTTTAGTAGACAAATATGGAGAAACGAACAGAAGGATACAACACGTTATGTAACGCTTCATCATCATTGCCATAATAGAGGTATAGGGCTTAGTACGAATATCCAATCAGAGAGCAGTACGCGTTCTCACCTCAGCCACAAAACATCCACTGCTGCACTTACCTATAGGCCTCCCCTTTCCCCTAATGACTTACATTATTCGTAGCGTAAATTGTAAAGGTAGACTCCACGTCTACACAGCATCTCTCACCGTCTTAATGGTCTATCAATGATAATTTCCTAATAACAATAAACTTTAACGATAGTAATTCATCGATTGGCCAAGGACCAATAAAATAATTATGAGATCTTATTCTATTACCTAATTAAATAAATACAATTGCCCTGATTACTCCATTGGCCTAGTTGTCGAGGTCTGCAAACAGCCAAGCACATTGTAAACCAGTGCAACGCAAGAAAACCTGTGGAAAATTAGTTTACTTAGTCACCCTTTGGGCTTTAGGATATTTGGTCGATAGGTTTTCACTCATGTCTGAAGGTTCCTTTGAGTTTCTGGTGTGGATAATCTACTTCCATCGGCTTATGTCCAGCGTGTCTCTGTGTTTGGAAACATTAAACATTTTTCAATATTATTATTTTCGTCGCTTTGTGCCATTGGACTGCATCAGATACCATTTGTATTACTTAGAACTGAAATAAATGCTTGTTATACATATATACATCATTCCAAAGAATACCATAGACACGTATGAGAATCGCAGAGGACCTAACGGTCGAGGAGAACCTAACGGGTTACCGGGGCTCCGGCTCGACGTGCAGGAGAAGGAACGGGGTGGCTTTTAGTCAGTAAGAGTCTGACACTCCCTCCCGCCTCACCTAGGTGGGAGCAGTCATACGATGATTTTCCCCCTTAAAAAAAAGACACATATGGGGGAAACATCTATCTATGTATCTATGTGTGCAAGCGCAACAAACATTTGGTTGGTGAAACCGTATATCGATGTATGTACGGAGTCGATAAGAAAATAAAATATTTACTTGTGTAAATTGAATTTAGTAGTTCTAAAAACCGTAAAATTATTATGTAAATAGGTACTTACCTGTAGCTATAGCTACCAGTAAACGTAAATAATACAAGTTTTTTTATGAATTCATGCACTAGTAAAGACCTATAAAAATATTATACGCAGGTTTATTAGTTAGGTAGGAATGTTCGTTAATTTTCTATTATTAGGTATAAAAATCTGTTCCAAAAAATGGATTGCTTGTGCCCGCCGTTTCCAACATTCATCAAGTAATTCGAGGCCCTAGTTCTTTCCAAACTTCTAACCAGCTGAAACTGACATGGAGTCATTGGGAGGCCTATGTTCAGCAGTAGACGCTGTGGACATCTTATGGCTGAAAATATGCCGATTCGGAGTCGCGGAGAACCTAACGGGTAACCGGGGCTCCGGCTCGACGTGCAGGAGAAGGAACGGGGTGGTTTTTAGTCAGTAAGAGTCTGACACTCCCTCCCGCCTTACCCAGACGGGAGCAGCCATTCGATGACTTTCCCCCTTAAAAAAAAGAAATGGCTGAAAATATGACGATAATCATGCATGTTGAATTCCATAAGCTGACCTAAACTCTTATATCTAAGTACACAATTACATAGACAACTTAACTTCTACATTCAACAATATTCAAATTGACAAATAAATTGTTAGTGTTCCTACAACATAAGTAATATGTACTTAGGTAATTTTCTTTCATTTGAGGTACGGAACCCTAAAGAGAAATGAGCGTATTTTTCAATAAATTCTGTTCATAAAACTATGCTAGTATAAGTAGGTACTTAGGTACTTGAATAAACTAAAGTCTATAAATAGTAGTAAATGTTTATTGAAATATAGCAACTAGGAAAAATGGTGGTTTACCTAGACAGTGCAGTGGTGGTGCGAGTGTTTGAAAGCAGATCACGTAGTTTTGAGGTCAAGTGTCCAGCCTCGGAATAACGTGTTACGACATTACACTTTAAATAAGTTAGGTACGTAATGTACTAAAGTCACAACCGACAACTGAAAATAATTGTAAAGTAATCGATTTTTCTCCAAAAGAAAAATAAACGCACGTTTTTAGGCTTTATTCCCAAGTCAAAATAAAAAATAGTGTTACGTAGGTTTTAGTTTATTATGGACCTAAGTAGGTACTGGCTGGAAGTATCAACCAACTTTATAAAATCGGCATGCATTGATTTTATAAAAAAATCAAAATGGTTGTTGTTTTTCCCGCGCATCCGGAGACAGGCAGTTGCTGTTTTTATTTCTAAAATTAGCACCAAGCAGGTACCTACCAATTCATTTATTCAGCAAACTTCCTGTTTTCTTCTTTGCATAAAGAAATAACTTCCTATCCATCTAGCATTTATTGTGATTTTTCATATTGTCCTAGTTGAGCTCTATTGCACACGGTGAATCGCACAATGCATCGCGCATTCAGTCCGATGAACGATTCCGATTCCGACATTGAAACAAAACGTTTTTTCACTTCGCGGATCTGCCGCTATAATTCGACCGAATTAAACATTCCACTTGAAGTTCCAAGTACATTAAAGTGCAGTGTGCTCCCGCAGTAGGTCGCGCGCCATTGTTTTGTCCGGCAAAACGTTAGGCTTACTTCATAGACCGTCAGTCGTGCCGCGTCGCCGAGTCGCAGCTGTGATTGACAACGAGCTAGTGTTGACGTGCGCGCATAGTTTATTACGACTACGAAATGTCATCTAATATAATTAGCGATAAATATGCAAACGATACGAAATTGAACAGTTTTAGTGCATTTACAGATAAAAGTTTGGCGCCAATAAACGGGCGGTATAGATCGAAGAGTTTGTCAAGTGATAAGTTGAATAAAACGAATGCGGATCGTGCGGCGATATTAGAAGACGTCGAAGACCATCATGTTACAGAAAAGTCTGAGACTCCAGGCTGCCTAGTCGGTAACAGAGTCACGGAGCAAGGAGGTCACAACACGATGAATGGGTGAGTTTATTGATTTCAAGTTATAAATAAAAGTTTTTCAACTATCATTTGATGACCTTTGATATTGAGTTGTGTGCGTTCGTGCAGTATTTGTTGACACAACTTGGTGTCAGGACTCGGGTGTTGTTCATTTGTTTAGAAAATAAAAAGGTATCGATAATTATAGTTCAAACACCTAATTGGCTATCTACTCAATTAGTTCTGTATACTATTCGCTAAGACACCGATAATATTAATTAAGGACATTAATAAGTTGCACAGGTGCAAATCTAATTTGATACATACCCTACCCTATACCCTCTTACTTTTATTTTTGTTTAATAAAAAACCAGAACTGTAGGTAGTTACAGTTAAAAAAGTCAAGTAGGTAAGTCAAGTTTTCCTAATTATTACATTTATTGATGCATCTCAAATTGTTGATTAGTTCTAAATAGTTTCTTATTTTTTCCACAGCAATTTCACAATAAATCAGAGAATTATTTAATTTTTAGATCAAACTTTACCTAAGCATTCTGTTCCTATTAAACTTTCAAACACTCAGCGGTCGAGAGATGGCACGATATTTGAGCACAACTTAAAATTAAGTAATGTTTCAGTATTCGGCACATGTCTAATAAGAAGCCAATTTAAAGTAAAGTGGATAATACAACCTGATTAAATATTTGAACAATAATACATATTATATTGCGTCTCTAAAAATTTTATTTAATATATTTTCTGTAAATAATATTTATCTAATAAGTACCTAATTGCAAAAATAACTAAATAGTACTTTCAGTGAAAACCCATTGAAAATTGTTGAAAATCATCCCCAACATTTGTTCATACAAAAGTAAAGTAAAAGTAGTTTCTAAACATTGGAAATAAGGTCTATAATGTAGTTAGTGGAGAGCGGTCACCGGTGTTCACTTGAGGATATGTATGGGTTAAAAAAAACCTAACTGATTTAAAATACTTTTTCTAAACAAATTACCAAATCTTGGCTCCAAGTTAGTTCCAAGCCTAAAGTCCTACTAGCTAGACCAATAATCTAGTAGATCAATAATCTTATAACTTTCAACTTTGACACTGAAGATGAAAATGGACAAACCCCTGACAGGTGGCTAATAGCCCATAAAAACATTAGTTGGTTCCTCTCTACCGCTGGACTTCGCTGTCTGAAATTTCATGTCAAACAATGTAACCATCCCTACCCAGTTTTGTAACTGGACTGGTAGCTTCCAGTCTAGTTACATACCTAGCTATACAGGCATTGGCACTGTAAAAGAAGTGCATTCAAGATAATATCATTATGTGGGATTCTGTTAATCTTTATCTGTTTTACATGCAAGATGCATGTATATGCTATCCAAACATTATCAATACCTAGTTGTTGACATAATATATTTTTCGGAGTACCTACTCTTATCAATTCTAAAGCTCCTGTCAATAATATAGTTATCTTGTCATTTTGGTTGAAATCAGGATAAGTTGATTGTTTAATATTGTTTGGTCTTTGGGGATGACTGGTCGAAAAATGTGATGAAGTTATTCGTCAGTGTTATTAAAATCCTTAAAAAATGGAATTATATTTGGTGCTTGCCAAAAAGGCTCTCCTCCTAATACCTAAATTATTAAATTAACTCGTCGAGTACCGTCAATATAGACTCAATTATAGAACAATAGGTTGCAGTCACCGGTGACCGCTTGGTGTTTGACAGTTTAAAGGGTAACCTTTGGTATTAGCTACCAATTTTTTTAATTAGATATAACATCTTGCCGTTTTACCCAGAAGGGGTAGGCAGTGGTGCACATTACGGCACTTAATGCTACTGTACAATGTAACACCCACTTTTCACTATTTATGTTATTAGACCCATGTTATAGGGGGTGAGCCTATTGCCATTTCTAGACGACTATTTTTTTTAAAACCCAGTAATACTTTGCCCAACTCGGGAATCTGATCCGAGACCCCTTGGCGGCAGTCGCACTTGCGACTACTCGGCCAACGAGGCAATTTTTTTAGTAGGTAAATCATGCAATATTGATATCAACATGCAGAAGAATTACTCATAGTTAGTGTCAATAATAATTATTATCTTACATTGCCATCATATTGCCAGCACTATTTAATATTTACCAAGTTCATTTCACCTTGTCAAACAAGCCAAGTGCCTATATTTGCTGATAAATAAAAATAATAGTCATAATTTGTATTGTAATAAAAATTATCTGACATTCACCATAAGCCTTTCACACTAATTAAATGACAAGTAGGTCCCGGTACCTACACTTAACATTGGATGGGCATGCACTATGCAGTATGCATTTACTGTAAAATAGTTACCTAATGTAACTATGTACATTTTAAGTATCTATGAGTACTTGACAATATTTATCAAGCAATTTGATTCAATTATATTTAATTAATGGCATGTGAAGATAAATAAAACAATGTAACTATGTAATACATATTTTGTTATCTCTCATTGACCAGTGTGAAGTGTGGTTACTGCTGTAGATAATTGCTGTTACAATTTAAGTAATTGGCCCTTAGGTACTTGAGTAGTTCAGTTTAATCAGAAGTTAGTATATTTCAATTGTTTTTATATTTCAATTGTTAATATATTATATAGACCTGTCCCTAATACCTACATTGCAAACAGTAGGTAAGTAAACGTATTATAGTTACTGCCCCTTTGCGTATGCACATTCCACATCTTATGTTTTGTGAGATATACCTCTAAATAACACTAGTTATTACTTAAATATTAAATCTTTCCCTCACTTTTCATACAAAGGTATGTTAGATGTTGCAGAAGCGGATCAAACTTACAGAGCGCTCTAGGTGTCCTTATAGGCGTCCCCAATTTGTTTTGGCGCCGCTGTCGTACGAGCATGGGGCGCCTCTGTAACCTAGCGCCCTAGTCAAGTGCCTAGTTTATCTTTGGGATCATACACCTCTAGGTGATTGTCTCCTAGCGTTTGACTACGCCAAAAAGACAATAAATGAATATTACATGGTTAATTAATAATTGTGATTGATATCATAATGTAAATAGGTCATTGATTAGTAATTTCATTGAGAACTATGGACTTGGAGAAATAAATTCTTCGCTAATGCGGGCTACGGATCACGTAATTGTTTAAACACTGTATTTACTATTGTTCTGGGTAATGTTTAATAACAGTTTAAAATGTAATCAATAAATTCTTTCGTGAATGAATTCAATTATCGACCAAAACCTTTGACTAATTCCCTCTGATGTAAACTCAATTCATTTAGTTCAAAGTAACTAACTAAATTAAACAGTACAATTTAAACTAAAATACATCCATAACTACATATTTACTTTAACAAAGTTTACTAATACTATACAGTTTACTAATACTGCCAAGATTAACCAAATTTTAAGTAGGTGAGTAGGTGTTTGCTTCGCATGACACGCGTCACGTAACTAACTATTGATAACATTTAAATACGTTTTGCATGAATGTAGGTACCTACATAATATAATAGACATAATAATCATGTATTGCTGCTAAAACAATACTGAATAGATAACCAAAGGCTATTTATTCTATACACAAAAATGTGTAGGACCTGAAATCGAGCCCTGAGGCAGACCTTAATGCTTTGTTTTTAAAAGACGGGTTTGGGTTTTGAGTATCGGATGCAATGTGGAAAGGATTTGTTAAGTTAGCATTTAGGTATAATTGTGGCAGGGTTACTTATTGGCTATAACTAATAGAATGTCATGAATGTAATATACTTTGTCTATAGGTATACCTGCGAAACTAGGTACAATTTGGGCTGATAACTCAGACACGGGTAATTTGATAAACCTAACCTAATTTTATGAATAGTTATTAACGCCACATAACGTCACTTAATATATTTACACGTGATCTTATGCATTATCGTCATGAGTTATTTGAATAAGAGTATCGAAATCAATTACGAATCTCTTACGGCTTACCAGATCAAAAAGTATTGTTTCTTAGTGTCGGTACTTATTCATGCCTCTCAATATTCAACGCTATTATATAAATTTCTACTGGTTCTAAGTTAATTAACCTCTAAAATTGTATAATATTGACAATAATTTCTTAATATTATGTTATAAGACCAATAATATTTATGTTACTTAGTTTTGGTTTAAACTGTGACTCAGAATCTATGACCTACGTTTTGTCTACCTGATTGAAAGGTATTGGCGTTTGAATTTGAATAAGATACTGGTGGTCAGGGTTATTAGAAATCGCGACATTTTGTCCTATTGTCCAGTGTATCAATACTTGTAGTTAGTTAATTGTAGGTGACTAATATCTGAATGTCAGTCTACGCATTCTTATTATTACCAAAACTCTAACGTTATATTGTATTGTAAGTATTTGTATCGTAATAAAAAACAAGAAATGACTCACTATGTACCTATTTCTTAGAAAATCAGAATGTTATATGACTGTTATACAGATTTCAGGAAACAACTGTTTGTGTAACCCATCAAATCGTACCTAGCAGATAGCACAGTGTCAATATTTGTGTCTAGTCTTCACTGTGCTTGAGTGATACTACCTAACATACAGTTATACGTAATTCATAGATTGTCGACTTTATAGCAAAACGATAAGGTAGAAAATCTATTAAAGAAATACAGTTACGTTGCTTGATGTGATCGCGTCTAAATACAACTGATACACCAAAACAGTAGTTGATGATAGACCAATCAGTTCCAGCTTAATCGTTTATTGTTAGTTGTCATTAAAGTCGTATTGTATTTAAATTAAGATTTAATTTAATGTGGCTCAGATTCTAGCCGATTCTTTTCCATATAAGCAAGTAAGCATAGCATTAACTACCTCGTTAGTAGTAACAAATAAAGATGATTCGAGAAAGGGTTCGGGTTAATTAACTAGTATTTAATGCCCTTTTGGATCCCTAGCAATCCTCTGACTGAGGAAGTTTTTAGGACCATCAAACATAGGTCAAGTAACATCTGTTGAACCACAGTTATGCA